TTTCTCCTATATTTACATTTACTGATATAAACTCAAAATTTCAAGTCTGAAGTCCCATTTTATGACTTTTCTTGCCACAGTTAAGTGAATCATTGCAGTTGTTAAATTAGTAACAGTTGTTAAGTGAATCTAGCTTTCCACTGACTACTTGTCAGAAGGTCGTAAAAGCTGATCACATGACCCAGCCCCCTGCAACCATCATAAATATGAGTCAGTTGCCAAGCATCCGATTTTGATCACGTGACCATGGAGAATGCTGCAATGTTCGTAAGTGTGAAAAACAGTCATAAGTCACTTTTTCAGTACCGTTGTAACATCAAACAGTCACTACATGAACTGTTGTAAGTCAAGGACTTGCCTGTATTATACAGGGAGAAACAACCAGATGAGAAGTAGAAAAACAATAAGAGACTCTTAACAACCATTTTCTTCAGAATGATCTGTCCTCAATCTGGCCCTTTATATCTTCCCATAGTGCACCAATTATTGCTATAATTGAGTCCATTTTTGCATTGTTATTCATCCTCTTCCCTATCCTTCCACCTTTTGTAACATTATGGACTTCTCAAGGAAGCTTGGTTTTTTCCTGCTTAAAATATAATTTGAACTGATTCATTTATGCCTCAGATGAGAACTCTAGATTAATTTCTTCTATGCTGTATTAATTTGTTTTCTTGGGTTATATGATGCTGTCAAGAATCTTCTCCAGCATCAAAATTCAAAAGCAGTAGTATTCTTTTTATCCTGCATCTTTGGCATTTTCTTCATTTCATACCCAGCTCTGTGCAGTTCTGATCTAACAGACATGTAAGTTAGGCCATCTGAGTATCTTTTCCAAGGATTGCCTGTGAAGTCTGATTAATATTACTCAGTCATAGACTGCATTATATCTAATTAGTGTCTTTGCTATATAGCCTTATGAAAACAATGCTGTTCCTTCTTTCTTTTTCATGTAATGAGTAGTATCCAATTTCATCCAATTCAGTTTATTGATGCCTAGTATCTCAATCTACGATCCATTTTATCTCTGAGTTGAATTTTCCATGTTCATATTTATGTCCCACATTCGCTCTGTAATTCTTTCTTTGCAACTTTGGTTTTCTTTCTCTGCATGGCAACATTAGCAACCAGATTGCTGGAAGGCTTTAATGGAGCTGCATCATAGATACTATTAGCACTCCAAAAGATCCTCAGCTCCTCTAGTAGCATGTAGTGCAGTGGTGGGCAACTGTAGCCCTTTTACAACCTGTGGACTTCATCTCAGGAATTCTGGGAGTTGCCCACCTCTGGTGTAATGTATCATTTGACCTGACAGGCCCATCACCTGGCACTATCAGTAATTTCATTTATTCATTTATTTAAATGTATTGGCCACCCAACTCCAATTTTATAGTGTCTATTCGTGGGGGTTTTCTTAGTAAAATACAGAAGTGGTTTACCATTGTCGTCTTCTACACAATACGAAATGATGGTTTTGCTGCTGTCACTAATAGGATCATCTTCCTCCCATTGTTAGTTAACTACTTTGAACGTTCATAAGAAACAGTCCTATTGAATCAGACATTTGGTTTCTTACACTAACCAACCAGATGTGGTTGGTTACTGCTACCAACCAGTTCTTAAAGTGAAAGAACTACCAATAAGTGAGATGTGAATGTATGTATCTAAAAACAAATAGAGTAGAATCTAATGCAAATACTGATACAAACACAAATAAAATATATGGAGGTGAGTAAAACTTTCCACTTTGTAAGCAAGAAACCACAAGTGATTCCAGCTTTTGCTTCTCTGTCCGATGTAAAGGTTGCTATTCTAATTCTGACTGCAGGCTGTTGTCCCTTCCCCCAATTATGTAATATAACTTGTGACTCGGCAGTTGGGAAATGGCCCTAAAAACCTCAAAGAGCTTTAAATATCAACAGATGGTTTTATGCTACTTTGTATGGTAATGTGACACTTCAAAATTAAATTTACCTCCGTTTTAACACTTTTTAGTTGAAGTGACAGAGTCCAAGTCAAATGACGGATAGAGCATGAATGCTTATTATGTGCATTTTTTAAAAAATAACAAAAAACAACAGATCTATAGTTACAGTCCTGAAAGGCCACTTCCTGAGGTTCAACTTCCAATGCAAAAAACGGGCAGGAGAAAATATCCCTACAAGGAATTTTCAACACACACACACACACACACACACAGAGAGAGAGAGAGAGAGAGAGAGAGAGATTAAGCTCTCTACCATCACACACATACTCCAATTTCCTGTAGCTGTTCATTGAATTTTAAAAAATGCATACAAATTGCATTTTTGCAGTTATGGCTACATTTAAAAAGTGAGAATGTCAACGATTCAGTTGATTGTGTAGCAATAGGCCCTGTTAAATTACAGTTTGGAAATCTTAATGATTTCACATTTCTACTAGACTAGAGTTTCTTAACCTTGACATTTAAAGCTCTTTGAGGTTTTTAGGGCCATTTCCCAACTGCTGAGTCACAACTTATAAAAATATAACTGATCACAACTGATCACAATATCCAGCATTCCTCAGGTAGCCTGCCTGCTGGGGAATGCTGGGAGGTGAAGTCCATACATCTTAAAGTTGCCAAGACTGAGAAACCCTGATCAGTGGGGCTGACTAGATGGGGATCCTTATTCTTTATCTCCCAACCTAACCACCCTCACAGGTTCTCAATAGGAAGTGGGAGGGAAATCATGTGTATTATGAGTTCTTAAAGGAAAGATAGATTAGGCAAACTTTTGTTTTAATCTGTTAAAGCAGAGGTCTTCAAACTTGGCAGCTTTAAAACTTGTGGACTTCAACTCCCAGAATTCTCCAGCCAGCTCTGGGAGTTGAAGTCCACAAGTCTTAAAGCTGCCAAGTTTGAAGACATCTGTGTTAAAGGCAACATGGCTGCATGGGCAATATGCTAGGAATTGCATCACATGTTTTCTGCAGAAAACAGAAAGTCAGAGCCAAAGATAATGGGAGCCACTTATTTTATTTTTTTTTCCTAAACTCTTCTTTTCACCTCTGATACCTCTTTTCCTCTCTTTTTTCCTTCTACATTCAACAGGCTATTAGCTAACTTTTCTAAATGTCAAACATAATCAGATGAAAGAACTTTGGAAATGATGTTGGTCCACATAAAATTAAATCAATTCAGTCAATCAATCAATTCAGCTTATTGTTGTCAGAGACTAACACAAATGATAAACAAAATAAAGTTTGAGAGAATTAAAAATCAGTTAACTAATATCTATAAGAGGGATCCAGGATGTTGACTATATTAAAGTATAATGTAAACATTAAAATTATGAAATTAAGTCAAAGATTGAATGTGGCTATAGGGCCCCATGTTTTTCAGCCCTAAACTACAAGAACAATGAGATACAAATGTAGCATACATATATGAATCCATTAGTCATGTTTTTATTCCATCTGGGAATTATTTCAATAAGAAAGTAACAAAAAAAGAAACAGACTTGGGCAATCACACAAGTCATTTCAAATTATTTCCAAATTGCTAAGAGTTTCTTAAAATGCACATCCTTTTTGTTGTGACACTCTCTGGTTTGCATTTTATAGGTTGACTTTGTGATGGTTAATAGAGCTAGGGTAATTTTCTGTTACAGTAATCCATTTGGAAATTACACAGATTGATATGTTTGACAAATAAATTAGATCTAATGCTTCCTTAAGGAAAACAACACAATTGTTCTGTGGATAGAGTCCAGGAAAAACAAAGTAGTGTTTATTATGTCATTTTTTTTACTAAGGTGATATAAAACCATTGCATTTCAAGAGGAGGTTATCAAGCAGATTTGTGCAAAATCAGCTAAGAATGGAGACACAACTTTTTATATAGGGAAATAAATGACAGCATAGACAAGAACAGTAAAATGGGGGGGAGGGGGCAGTCAAAAAATCAAGATGGCAGTGTGATCAAAGCTACACCTCTTTGTGTATTTGTGCAACACCGACGTGTCTACAACATAAGCAGGGGTTTTGATTGATAGACTGTGACAATTACTGTATTGACTTTTTACCCTTCTACAGTTCCATTGTATGAAAAACACACTGGCTTATATACAAATGTTGATTGGATTGATGCATAATACTAAACATCATATGCTTAGTTCTAATGATTTCTCTTTCTCTAATAAACCATGATTATGATTTTTGACTTACCACAGTGTGGATCGTTCTTTGAAAATGGCAGTGGTTGTGTTTGTGTAACATGTATGCCTCTAGCTTCACATGTTGTTCCTGCAAACCAATTATGGTAACTGCTATAGACAAATCATGTCTGTGCTTTAAGCATGATTAAAGAGCTGCAGACTATTGGGGAGACGAGACTGGTTCCATCACTTCTGAGCTCCCAAAAGCCCTCAAGACTTGGTTATGTCAGCCAGCCTAGGGAAGCCAGAAGACATTATTGCTATTGTTGTTGTTAGCATCCCTTTGCCTACTATTTCTGGTCTTAGCTTTGTTTTTATATTTTTAATGTTTGATGATGATGGTGATTTGGGGTTTATTTATTGTTTAAGCTTTGTTATTTGCTGGCCAGAGTTACATGTTTTGTGAGATGGATGGCTATGTCAATTGGCTAGATAAATAAATAGTCACCTTGTAGGGGGAGATGGGCAGCATAAAAATGTAATTAATAGCCCTGCCACAATCTACAGAGACTAAGCATTCCATGCAAACACATGATGCCCAGATTCATTCATTCTATTCACGGCATATTCACATCTGTTACAATTGCACAGCTTCATATATCTTTAGTGAAGTATGCATACTAAATCCTGTTTTTTATATACACCTCTCTTCTCTTGATTAGAGGAAAGTACTTATTCAGTCAAAGGGGCAAGACAGAAGTACAACTCTCTTGTCATTCACTTAGTTGAAAATTGCTTCAATTTTACTTTGCTTTTACTTTTATGTAGTTCTAAAATGTGAAATGGGCTGAGAAGTGATTTTGTGTTTGCAAGCCAAAATGAAATAATAATATATGTATGTTTTATTACTACACACACTGAATTTCAGATATGGTACAGAATACACATTCAGAACACACACATTACACTGAGTAATGGCTTAACCAAGGTCTACAGAAGGAATCACAAATGGTTCGGTTGACACAATATACAAAGTCAAAACCAAACAAACAATTTAGCAAGATGTGTTAATAAGATCCTGTGCTCTACAGTGTGGACAGCTAATAGATCTCTGGAGGATTTACACAGATCAGCAAGAATTTCTGACTCATTACTTAATCAGCAGCTATGTAGCCCCCACAATCTTTCCATTTAAATTGTGTATTACTGCTGAAATGAATAAAAGGTGGAGACAGAGAAAAGTAATTATGTATGTGTGGAAGAAGAAATATGCATTTCCTTCAACGTCATTATTTATTAGTTAATGGATCTTAGTGTTCCAGTTAAAAAAACAAATTGGATCCACAGATGCCTACCCCACTATTCTTCTATAGAATTCATACAATATTGATAACCCAAAGATTTGTAGGTAATGATGACAGATTTGTAGGATGACAGTAATCATAATGACAACAACAAATGTTTTGCTCTGAATCTGATTTTTTTCAGTGGTGGGATTCAAATAATTTAACAACCGGTTCTCTGCCTTAATGATTTCTTCCAACAACCAGTTCACCAAACTGCTCAGAAAGTTAATAACCGGTTCTCCCAAAGTGGTGCGAACTGGCTAAATCCCACCACTGTTTTCATATGTAAGAGAGTAGAAGACTCTCATTTCTAATGTTTTGTTTATCTGTTTAACAAAAAAGCATAAATTTCAGTAACCGAACGCTTTGAAAAATTCATTGTTTAAAAATGGTGATTACTCATTTAAAAAAGAAGGTGCAAGTATATAAATGAAAAACTTATCAATTTTTGGAAAAATATTTTAATTAGTGATTTAATTATCATAAACTTACAAAATACTGCAACCAAATTTATATTACTTATTTACATTTGTCTGAAGAAACGTGATACACTGAAAACATGAATTTTACCCACAAGTCTCAGACTTATGAATGAATCCTTTTTTTTTTTTTTTTTTTTTTGAAGCTGGTCTTTCAACAATTAAATGAAGGAGATTCTTGGTTTCAGCTTTTTCTGCTCTGATTATCCTCAAACAGACAGATAAACTAGCGTGACTAAAACAAATCTTAAGCATGGAAGATCTATTGCTTTGGATGTTTCTTTTTGACTTAATGGGTTTTTTCTAATCTCCCCTACACCCCAGCCAATATACAGATGAAAGCATCCCTTTTGCTTCCTCAGACACAGATTGCTAAAATTCAGACAAAGGCTAAAGAATGAGTCAAATCCCATCTCCTTCAGGGATCTGCTGAGGCCACAAAAGGGATGCTAGCAGGTTGCAGGCAGTCCCTAGGCTGCACATTTTGCATGCCAGCACAAGAAACAGCCACACAATTTCACAATGTCTGATTTCTGATCCCCTCTATTTGTCATTCCTGTAAGACTTCCAGACTGCTATTAGCTACAGAGATAATAGCTCCAATCTAACTTTGACATATTGTGTAAATGAGACCACATTTTCAAATATTGGGGACTGTACTTTGGTTCCATTACCAACAAGTTTCTCCCTGACAATCTAAACTATGGGGTAAAAAGCAAAGGACTTTCTTTATATAATAATTAGGATAAATATTTTTCTCATGTAATTTTATAACAATGCATTTTAGAAATGTATACCTTATAGGAAATCTTTTATCAAAACTCTAAACTCAACTATGAGTACGAGATGTCTAAACTGCATTATCCATGTAATACAGTTTATATATAATTTATAATTAGGGTTCATAATTTCTTCCATATTTATTTTCTCCAAGAAAAAAAAAACTGGCAATTGCAATTGCTCTCTTAAAAATCCATAGGATGTATTTATTTGGGAATAATTTATTACCCACCTCATCAAAATTTCCCGTGGTTTTACATAGGTTCTGGTATGCCTTTCATTTTGGTAGCAATGTGGGGGTTGGTAATCTTGTTTCTTATTACATAAGTTGAAATATATGAGTGGGTAGGAATCTGTGGCCCTTTAGATGTTTTCAGATTCCAACTTCAATCCACCAGCATAGCTAATTGTCAGATATGATGTAGTCCAACAACATCTATGGAGTCACAGGTTCCCAACTTTGGTATGTACCATACTGCTACTGTCCTTTGGTTTTCATAAGAAACATACACATATATAATTAATAACAAATATGATAACCATAAAGAGATGAGCACAAATTATAAGCATTCCCATAACACTGATCTAGTGGCTTCAAGAAGGTAGTTAGCCTTTAAGGCATGATAAACAGCAGCAAAGGATTGTTCGGCAAGGATGTTTTCTCCGATATTCAAGTGCTCTCCTCACTTCGTCTTTAGCTTCTCCAACATATTCTTGGACATTCTGCATGTTGAACGCAATGACATCAAAGGTGTCGGCCTGCTCTTCCACCAGCAATGCCACCTGTAGGAAAAGTTCATGGACTTCTTTAATTCGAGATTCAAGCTTCATCAGCTCTTTGTGCCGGGTTTCTATCTCATTCAAGGCAGAGCGAGCTCCTTTTGTGTCAGACAGCAGGTTCTCAGAGAATACATCCCAGCGGCCTTGCTCAATTATATCCTCTATCTGGTTTCCAGACACTTCTTTGCCCATGATTTCCAGCTGCCGCTGAATCCTAACTTTGCAATTGTCTCGCTCTTTCATCTCAGTTTCATTGTAATTAAACATGGCTTCCTGAAAAGCATGCATGAGATCGACATAATGGTCCTTGCACACACGGGTTACAATTGCATTTTCACCGTATTTTGTTTCTGCATCTTCACTCAGATCTCTCAGAACCTGAAGTTTTCTGTGGATCTCTTCCCCACGGACCTTAATGTCCTTTGCTATGGTATTTGTGTCTCGCTTTATGCTACTGAAACGACGCATTGATGTCAGGAAGCGACTGTTTTGTTTTCCCAAGCGTCTCACATCTTCCTTCAGACGGTGATTGTTTGTTCGAATCTCGTGAATGTTTTTGTAAAGATTTGCTACGGCATGATCAGTTTCAAAAAGAAGTATTTCATGAGGTCTTTGAAAGTCATCCTCAGCATCTCCAGTATGTTGGCTGTGCAGCCTAGATAATTCATAAAACTCCAAGAGTCTGTCTCTCATTTTTGTCCTAGGAAGAAAAAGTGAATAAGTCAGATAGCAGTGATGAAGATAGATTTCTTTTAATTACCATATATAGATTGAAGTTTGATATACCACATATTTCCATATCAATCAGAAATATTCCATATTAATCAGAAAAATACTATCTATCAGAAAGACACTAACTTTCTGATTAATTACTGAATTTCATGAATCCCTTTGTTCTATTGATAAATCAGAATATTTATAGATCCCCTTTGTAGAAGTAGGAAATATTTAACTCAACCTTTCTCATTCTAAGGCCCTCCAAGTATGAATTTAGAGTATTCTGAGTAACTATTCACAGGTATACATAGAGGATACTAGGCTGAGAAATAATGTAAATCACAGAAATGTACATTGCTATTCAAATAGAAAACAAAACTGATGTATATCGAAACCAAGAGGTTTTCTGTACATTAATTCTGTACAAAAGCAGAATTTCCCACAAGAAATTTAAAGCAAAAACCTGGGGGAAATCTTATTGATATTGGAGTTATTTTAAGAAGATTCTTCAGGAGATATTTTTGCTATTTGTGCAGTTTCGCTTCTAACTACTTCAAAAGAGCTGATCTCATAAACTTGTCTACTTACTGTTTTATGTCCACTTTTGAAAAGTCAGTCAAATAGTTAAGATATTACTCTTTACTTATCATCCAAGGCCTTCCACTATTTCATTTATTCATTAAACTTTTATTCATCTGAAGATTTCAGGGGAATTACAGCTCTGAAAAATAGGCTGGGCTGAGAGAATAGTGAATGGATCAATTTAAACTCTGAGCTGGGCTTCAGGTTCTGTCTTACCTTAGCACTACATTCAGTCCACTACAATAGACTGCTTCTCTTGGACACCAAGTGGCAGCTGGAAAATAAATACTTCCATCTGGTCAGAGTTTGAGTTTATAAAGATAATAGCCACAAGCTCAAACCTCTTAGACATGAACCCATGACCCAGAATTAATTTATTAAAAGGACATTAAATATGCTAAAGATTTACTGAAGAGATCCCCACACTTTTCATCTTATTGACCCCTTCATGAAATTCCACATTGTTCGTTGAACCCCATGCTACTTTAAGTATTATGAGTAATACTTAAAGTACCATAATACTTTAAGTATTATGAGTAATAATTACTTTGAATAGTCACATTGACCATTGGAAGTCAATATTGATCACTTTGGGGACCCGTACTTTACTGGGATTGTCATGCTGGTCAACCAGTAAAACATCATCCATGGGGTGGGGGACATAGATGAATTAAAATGTCAAAGATGCAAATATCTTCCATTTTAAATTTTAAATATTATCAGCTGAATCGATACTTGACTAGAGTAAATTATTCCATGAAGCTTAATATTTTTTTTGCACTTGAGTCAGAAGCCCCAAGGCACATCTGGACTGAAAGGATTAGCTACCTTTGCCCTGGGAATGCCCAGTTGGGGGCTCCTTTCATATCCCCAGCAGGAGCTAGAGTGAAAGACAAGAGCTCAACCCCACCCCTTGGCCGCTCTCGGGGTCTCGAACATGGGCTTGCTAACCTCCTGCCCAGCATCCTAACCACTTGTGGCACTATACTCTTGTATGAAACTATCATACTGACTAAATTTGAACTATTTATCTGCTGCTGAGTTGCAGCATAAATTCCTCCTTAGCATAATTTTTCCTTAAAAACCCAGCTTTTATTTAGTAATCATATATACAAATTTTTATTTCCTTTTTTAAACATTGAAGTGCTTGATAACTAGAGAGCAGATGCAGCACCGTAAATTAATTGCATCTACAGACTCATTAAACTTTGTAGTAGTTAATCAATTCATAATTTCACAATAAAACTTTACTAATTAGATTGTTTCAGATGTACTATTTCAGTAAAATGACTTTTAAAAATATTTATCCAACATTTGGCTTCTCGGGAAACATCCTTTTTTTGGTCAACCAAATACCCACCACTAATGTTTCATAAGAAAATGCCTTTAAAGTAAAACTTTATAATAAACAACAGCAGGGTGGAATAGAGTACAAGAGAATCTAGGTATCCACAAATAAACTGTAAGGTTACGTCAAGTTGACAGTGATGCTTCCATCTTTCCAGTCAAACTGCATTCCTTACTCTTACCACACTTTTCATTCTACCTCTACATTTGACATGTTACTCAAGAAATCTCTGTCCTTCCACTCAGTATTCACAGCGTAACATGTTTTTTATTCTTTTGAAACAAGAATCAAGACATGTGCACTATTTTGAAAATGATCACTGTTGCAATAACAAGCAGGAAATTTGGCATTGCAAGGCATTACAAATATACCTGCACTGGTGAGATTTCACCTCAAGTATTAAATACAGTTCAGAAGACCACCATTTAAGAAGGATTCAGAAGAACTGGAACTACTTCACAGAAGGCCAACCAGGATGGCTCAGGAGCTAGTAATTAAATCCTGTGGGGGGGAAAAAAGAATAGAAGCATTTTAAATGTTTAGCACAGAAGCTGAGAAGGATATGATAGTACTTTTTAAATACCTGAATATTGTATGAGGCCAAGACACGTTCCCAAGCAAAAACCTTGCCCCAAGAGATTGAAATTGGGGGGGGTAGTTTTGGGTTAGGGTTGATTGGATTTCCCCCCCCCCATTTTTTGAATATAAACGTGCTATAAAATGAGTGCCTGAAGATTTAAAGCAGCCATTCCATCTCTTAAATTCCTGAAATTTTCCCTCAAAAATACTAATTCTGCCCAATTTTGAAATGAATCCGTTGACATGAGATATTAAGCCTGGTGTCAAGCTGAGTCACGTTGCACACTCACTGTATCTTAGCCAGTTCTGCCAACAGGTGGAAGTAGATGGAACACTTTGTCCAGCTTTAATTATGGGACTGATTTTAACAATATCACTGTTTTATTGGCTTGTCAATGTTTTAATATGATTGCCCACTCAGGATTAAAATTGGGGGAGAAGAGAAATAGCAATAAAGAATAAAAGCATTTCCAGTGTTTAGCACTGAATCTGAGGAGGATATGATAGTACTTTTTAAATACCTGAATATTGTATGAGGCCAAGACATGTTCCCAAGCATTCCAGATGATAGGGCAGAAAATCAGATTTAAATTACAGGAAGCAGATGCCAAGAGATTATTAGCAAAGCCTCCCTAATATAAGAGCAACTGAAAAGATGGACCCAGAGAGACACCATTGGTTCTTTTCATTGGATGTGTTCAAAAGGAGTTAGACAACTACTTGCCAGGAATGCTAGTTGGAATCCAGCACTAAGCTCAAGGTTTTCAACAAGACTCAATGGTGTAAAGCAGTAATTCTCAACCTTGACAACTTTAAGATGTATGGACTGATTCTCAGGGTTCTATACATTTTAAAGTTGCTTATGTTGAGAAACGCTGGTCTAAACAACTCCCGTTCTAGCTCTATGGGGCTATAATTCTTTAGACAGCTTCTGTCTACAAGAATTCTGTGAAGACTGAAGTCAAGGATTTTCTAATAGGATTCACCCTCAAATCTTTGAGTCCATCCCATTCCAAAATACCATAGTTGGTTGGGCCAGAACGTACATTCAATTTCACTTATACTTAAAATTAAATATATTTGATAGCTTCCTGTCAAGTGTTTAATCATGTGCCTCTTCTGTCACAGAACAAATGGCAGTTTGATAAGGGCTTCTAGAGGTCTGTGGGAGCTACATAGATAGATGTGGTTTAGAAGAAAGACAAAAGGAAAGCTTCTAACCATTTTTCCCCTGTGTTTTTATGAGATGGCACAATCCACAATACATCACACATCTGATTAAATCCTAAGTTCATAGGTAAACCACTGGCAGCCTGACTCATCACCTAAAGGAAATATTGCTAATCACATCTTCATGCAGGAACAACCCACAGTTCTTATATAACAGCCACAGTACACATTTTGGAAAGTCATGAAGATTATGTTGCATTAACACTACAGCCACAAAATATTTGAAAATTTTTGTGCTGTCTGTGAACTGTTTCAATCAGACAAGCTTCAAATGCACATGATAAACTTACAGTTTGCATTGGCCTCCCAAAATTCAAAATCCAGGAACAATACAAAATTAGAATAGTTACAATTCCATCCATTTATAGTTCTTATTATATTTCTGTTTTTAAAAAGTTGATGGCTACCATCTGGAACCCTAGGTGATTTAATAATGTAAGAGGGAAAAAATCTTTTTTGTAGAAATATAGAAGAGGTGCAGCTTATAGGATAAATAAGAGGAAAATCAAGTAAGAAGAGAATTGATTAAAGCAGAAATGAGAGGAAAACCATTATTTCTCTCCTTCAAACAGGCCTTTCACTAATCTCATTCCATCCTTTTCTACTGGGTCTTAGCTTGTATTCTATAAGATTTGGTATTGATTTAAATTGGAACCCCCCAAAGTGGTCAATATCAACAACTTTGGGATTGATAAATGGCTGGAAGTATCAAGGGGAGTCAGTAAAGGTATGATAATTAATAGCAACAAACTGAATCTACAGTAGAAGAGCATGGTGACTACTAAAATACACCAATCTCCATCCATATATTAGTACCCTTATTGATGCTCATCAAATGCATCCCACCTACTGGTAGTTATGATATTAACAACTTCAGTAAAAATGGTATTTTAAATTTGATACTTTCATAATTATTGCCTATTTTTATGAAGTCATTGTTGTTTTTCAAAGAATTATTAAAGTAGTATTTATTAAATTATTTTCATATACATTTTCATAGTCATCACATCCCCTATAATAAGTGTTTGGGAATTGATGAGCAATCTGGAACTTCATAAAAGGAGTTCATGAGTTGAAGAGTTTGGGGACTCCTGATTTAAATGGTTAATAATTTAGCATGATACATTCTGCTTCAGAAACCTCTCCCATTGGAAGTAGAATTTGCTCCATGTTTTACGACAGGAATTGCTGGTATCCTCTAGAGCAGTGATGGCTAACCTTTTTGCCGTCACATACCAAAAGCGGGGGGTTGCAGGGGGGGTCACACACACGTGGGCCCACACCCATAATTCAATGTCCCCCACCTCCCGCACTCCCCCCACTTTTAGCACATGATGGCACAGTGGGCCCGTTTTTTTGCCCTCCCCAGGCTCCAGAGGCTTTCTAGGAGCCTGGGGAGGGCGAAAACGGCCTTCCCCACCCCCCAGAGGCCCTCCAGAGGCCAGAAACAGCCCATTTCCTGACTTCCAGGAAGGCCCAAAAATTAGGTGGCACTGGAGCTGAGCTAGGGCAACGCTCGCATACCCACAGATATGGCTCTATGTGCCACCTGTGGCACGCGTGCCATAGGTTTGCCATCACGGCTCTAGAGTTTCATTCTCAGTATGAAACTTTAAGATAATCATACATGAATTTCCTCTGTAGCTGCTTTTCTGCTCACAGCTGGCAGTTCCGTTTTTCATCACGAAAGCCAAAGTGCTACTGTATATGGCTTTGCTTAGTAATGCTGTGACAGCAGAGCTCTTTGGGGCAGGCTCTTATAGAACTCATGGTCACATCCTTCTAACTCTGGTACAAAGACATCCCACTAACCACTCTCAGAGAATGTGTCCTTGAGATATTGTCTTTATCTTGTTCCCAACCCACCGCAGAGGCGAGCTTGCATTGGCCTATGACTAGTTTCTCAACAGTGTTTGTTCTCCTTGACAATCAATCAATGACGCTTTGCCGACATTGTGATCAATCATTTTGTGAGGGCTCGGATCACATGCCAAATTGGTCACTTTAAGCTGCTCCCCTCCTTTCTGATGGTTTAGTATTGTTCTACATGGCCTTTTGTGGGTTGAACTTAAGCAGCGATTGGATATCTGCTTCCAGAGAGATATTGGCCTACATATAGACCTGACCAGGACCTTCCAAAGCACTAATCAAGTCTTATTCAGGTTCCCAATTTAAAGAAATAGATTTAGTGCACATTTGATCTATCACTAAGATTTAGGATGACAACAGGACTACTGTAGTCACATGGAACTCACAACAACTCAGCAAATGCTTACTTGGATTTCAATGAAATATACTAAATTCTGTTTGACTAATACTTTAAGTGTTCCTTCAGGGTCACCTTAGAATTAGCTGATCATTTTTTAAGTCTCCAAGGGTTTCTTCAGACAGTCACTATTGATCTGCGGTTGTTTGCATGGATCCGAGCTTGGCTGGGAAAGGGTATTTATATATTTCTCCTGCTTCATTGTTTTTCATCTGAAAATCCCCATTTCCTTCTAATTTGGATCACACATTTTATTCAATGAGGCAGTCAGCAGTCCTGGAGGAAAGCTGATTGGGGTGGGTGACTTTAACTGAGAGACTGATTAATGGACATTCAACTCCTTTCTTCAAGCAGCCTGTCACCAGTCTTCCTCCTAGAGACCTTTTCAAAAGAAGGCATCAGCTGGCAGAGAATGTAAACTTAGGTTCTATTTTTGCTAAACAGGGATGATCACATCTCCATTGTACATATGAGCATGACTGAGAGAAAGTAAGACACTAGCTTGCTTCAGTAAGAAAGAAATTCAGATAAATGGCTCTGTTGTATAAAATAGTTAACCCAGGAGCACACAACTTTTTTTTTAAGGCAGAAGATATGGTAGGATTGGAGGGTGTATGCCAAAAGGTAGCAAAAAACAGGACACACATTACATCTAAAGTTAATTAAATGAAATAATTACTAGGCTTGTCAAATAATTTAGCTATCCAGGTGAAAGTGCCTTCTGAACATTCAGGTGTCTACCTAGGCGATTCCAGCAGGTCTTAAAGGAACCATGCCGAGATTTTAATCAGTCACTAAAAGAAGCTGATACAGAAGAGATTGTCAAATGATTCACACAGTGAATATGATCCCCTCACCATGTATGAAATAATTTCCCCTTGTCATATTGAAAGTTAACATTTCACAGCAAGTGGGGGGGGCACTTCAGGGACTGTGCTTAAAGTGCTTTAGGGGGCTGCCACAGTTTATCATCCCCTATTTAAATTGTATCTAAGCAAAACAGAAGGCAGGGGTCTATTGTTAATAAAGGAAGTGTGAAAAAAACATGTTTTTGTTTTTTTTTAATTTGATTTATATGCCGCCCTTCTCCGAAGACTCAGGGCGGCTTACAATGTGCTCAGCAATAGCCTTCATGTTAACAGCTTCACTGTGTTTAAATTTTGTATCTAGTGCCAAATATCATCACATATCCCTTTTAATATCTCTTAAACTCATAGATTACTAGAGTAATACGAGTCATAAAACACCATTTGTAATTTCCAAGTTAATCTCTAGTTGTCTTGTAACAGCTAAGAAGCAAAATATGCACTGACGTATTATGACTAAGCACAGAGAGCACTGTACATTCTGCATTCAGTTACAGTACCTGTATTATCTAGTCACCTGATACATCACCCTTATAAGGTATATACTAATAAGTGACACAAAACCTCATGATTTTCATGCTCACAAGTGCTAGATGCATTACGTAATAAAGTTGATTACACAAATACTAACATGACATATCTAATTACTGAGCACAAATTCCCAGCATATCTCAGATTCTTTGTTTTTATCCTATACATTTTTATGATGTCTATCTATGTATATTCATGCCCAGGGATAGAGAATGCTGAAATGCAAATGTGACAATTTATAACAAGCAAGAAATGCATGCAAAATTTAAAATAGCACTCCAAATAACAAAACAATTGATTGCTAGTTCTGACCTAGTGTTTTTTTCCATACATTCTGAGACCTTCCTTACAAATCTTAAAACAAGGTAGGATTTGGAAGAAAGCTCCAAAACCTTAAAGTATATTGTTTTTAATACCATATGTTAAAATTTTAAAAATTAAAATAAATTAAAATCTTAATAAATTAAACATATTAATTACTACATTAAAAATTAAACAACTTTATTATTGCTCATGAAGAAACTATGTCATATGGTCATTGTTTCTTAATGTACTATCAACAGCATCCTATTCTTCCATACTCAGAAATAAGAGTCACTGAATTCGTTGAAGCGTAATCCTTAGCAGATTAGTAGTTATATAAAATTAAAATTAGTAGCTGTAATCTAAGTGAGGCCTATCATGTAAGAATAATTAGTAAACATGCTCCCCACACATTGGGTTCCCGAAAAACTATTCAAGTTGTATTCTTCATATTTTTGTTAAATTTCAGCAAGGGTAACACTTGCTATTTTTTAACCACATTTGCCTTAATTTATATTTCAGGCAGGTAACTATAATATCTCTCCATCTTTGACAAGGTTGATCTTGAAGGGATCTTGAAGTGGCAAACACTGTAACTTTAATAGATGCTAGTTTACGGGAATTTTGGGATCATTCACTTCCTGCCCCAACTTTTCCTTTTTCAGATCGAGTTCTGGACTCAAACAAATGTCTTGGAGGCATAGTCTTATAGAATTCTTCCATGTTACAATTCTTAGATTACGCAGCATGAAACTAACATTTCAGTTCCCTCAACTTTCAATCCATATTTTACAACTGCATCCTGATATACTAGACTAGAGCAAAGCGCTGAACTTTATTTTAAAAAGGTTCTTGAGTATGTGCAACTCTGTATCTCATTTTAATCCAAGATCAAGCGTAATACCAATACCGTGTTTCCCCGAAAATAAGACCCTGTCTTATATTTTTTTGAACCCAAAATAAGTACTTGGCTTTATTTTCGGGGAGGTTTTATTATTTTGTGGCGTGTGGAGGAAACCAGAAGAAATGGCGGGGACCAGCTGCACATGTGTTTAAATATTTTCGGGGAGGGCTTATTTTCAGGGGGGGTATTTTAGGGCATGAGCTCAAAAGCCCAATTGGGATTATTATCAAGGGATGTCTTATTTTCAGGGAAACAGGGTACAACCACTGGAACTTACTTCTGCTGCCCTAATTCTAAAAACATTTATTTGGAAACCAGCATTGTTCTGTTGTAGAAAATAACAGCACACCCTTAAAATAAAAACAAAACTAGTATCTGTAACTGTATGACTGACTGACTATCTATGGAGAGTCTCGGCCATCCAGGTCATTGTTGTCCCAAAGGTGCTTTTTCAAGAGGCAACTGGACTTTCTGGTTTTTGTTTGAAGACGTTTCGTTTCACATCCAAGAAGCTAAAGAAGCTGAAGAAGTTTCTTGGATGAAAAACATAATGTCTTCAAACAAAAAGAAGAAAGTCCAGCTGCCTCTTGAAAAAGCACCTTTGGGTCTGCCTGACTAGTTGTCCCTTTGCTATAAAGTGGTTTTAAAAATAAGAAGTTAAAAAATTATACTGCCTTAAAGAATTTCATCACCAGGGTGAAAATGTCAGCATGTCTGTGCCAGTCCAGATACCATACTGGGACTGGATGGTTTTGTCTCTGAGCAATCATGTGCTATACTGTAATTATCCAAGCCTGCAGGGCTCTGGGCCTGATGTTCTGTCCTAATAGCAGTAGAAGACACATATTTAAACATCTAGCCTCACTTATCTCACATAATATATACTGCTATTGGCATGCTCCCTCATCCTTATTCACCTGTGCTTGCCGACCTTCTAAATTTACTTCCTTTTCTTTTTACATGTTCACATCACATTTTTTTCCATTGAGCTGAGAGATCTCCTTTGGATCTCCTTATATTCCCTCACCTCCCACCCAAGATCCAGCCCTGCACCTCTTCTCAATACACTTCTTGCCAGTAGACCATTATTTAATTTCAAGCTGAAGGTATCTAGGAGTATAGTATTCTGGCCTGGCATCTTTGAATGATACTTATGAGATATTCTCCAAATGAAATACAAATATCCAGAAAAGTAAGCCATAAACTTGCTAACTGGGGATTATGGAAGAATCAATCTGACACATCTGGTGGGGACCACATGAGGTTCCCCTTCGCTATTTGGCTCATGACAGTAAAGGAACAAAGTTCATTTTGAATCAGTTTGGGGAAAGGCAGAAATATTCTCCTAAAATGCCATTTTATGTCCAAAAGATAGTAATTTCATCATGTGCAAATGTGTGAATTAAGGAATGCAACAATATCATACTAATATACACTAATAAACATTATAGGGAGTATAATGCAGATTATATTTGTATTGTATTCTACATTTCCTTTAAAGTTACAAAAGATTTTAAAACTTTAGTAGGCATTCCTGCTAAACATGAAAAACTACAAGGAAAGCTTTGAAAGTAACCAGCTATGAAAAATAAATTTAATCCTATTGAAAGCCTGAATTTAAAATATTTATTGAAAAAATATCCAGTGCAAGTTCTTATTTCATGGGTAATGTGTGAAAACATCTCTTTCAGAATGAAAATTCTTAATCAAATAACATTTTAAAAATATCCAAAAACTGAAAAGATTTTTTTTTCTTATAATTAACCTTTCACATTAGAATTGCTATGTTATGCTAGTAAGTACTATTCACAATAAAACGTATCAGCTTTAAAAATCATGGGTGCTCAGGACATATCTAATAGAGAAGTAAAACATCTACCAAAATTCTATAAAACAGAAGAAAGAGCCACTTTAGGTCCAATTTGTTCCCAAAATAGGAATTTAGTTATGTAATCACTAGCATGATTAGTAGCCACAGATAATCTTATTTTTATTAGTGAATTTTTATCAACCATTTAAAGCCCTCTAGCAGAAACTACAGCTGAACTGTGTGCTGCCTTTAAAACTTCCTCTTGCTTGTTTTCAGTTTTCTCATGGTCAGCCGGAGTCATTTCTGTTACTCAACTCCCAGCAAAAAAAAAATAAATTGTACATATCTCTGCCCTCACTTCCATCTCAGCCTCTTTGCTAAGCCCCAAAGCCACACACACACGAGAGGTTTTGGTAGCCCTTTCTTCTCCAGCTATAGGTGTGATGATTTAAACTGCACCTGCATCTTCTATTTCTCCACCATTCCCCTGAGAAAGCAGGGTTCAGGCTGCTGATGCCTCCGCGGACTGAACTCCAAACCTTTGACTCCAAACTTTATCAAATCAGCCAGCTGTGAGTTCATAGACACAAAAGAGACTCCCAGTGCAGGTGATAAAAAGCCCCCACTGTCATGGTTTGGGACTGTGCAATAAAGACTCCTTTCAAGCAGAGGGTATCTCCCACAGCCCCCACCTGGAAAATCAAGCAAACACTTACCGCCTGAGCCGAGAAGAGAGTCATCGACTTCCCGCCGTGTCGCTGTCCAGCCAAGACTACGCTGCCTCGTGGGAAGAAGCACCTGTCAAGCCTTTCCATCCTGGGAGTTTCCACGCGGCGAGTCTTATCCCCGCCCCTGGCCCCGCCTGCGCGAAGCCCATTGGCTGCCTCTTGTTGCTTTTTTTTTTTTTTGAGTGCGTCAGGGATGAGGGATGCTCTGGTACGTGTGGTGGAGTGATGAGTCTTCGTCTTGTGAACGGCGAGCGGGTGGGTGGAAGCTGCCTGGAAAGACGGCGGCGGTCGCTGCTGCGGGGCAGATGCCGAGCTCCCCGCGTCGATGATCTGCGGAATTCTTGGCAGGCTCCCCTGAGGTGTCATCGCAGCAAAGGCGTGAACCTGAAGCCCCGGTGTCAGCATCAGGGCAACTGCGCTACTTCTATTCCTCTCATCCATCCATCCATCCATCCATCCATCCATCCATCCATCCTCCCATCCACACAGTTATATTTTTCAAAAAGCCGGCCAAAATTACTGCCGATTACCCGCAGAGAATATATAAGGAAAGATGGACACAAAACGTGTAAAGACTACTTCAGTTTTGGGTTGTTTTGTTTTGTTTTTAATTCCACGGGTGTTTTTGTGCAACAAAAAGCTCCCTGGAGAACAAAAGTTTATTTCACGGATTGATTCCCTTCTGGAAGACTCTTTGGGTTGGGTAGATGCTCAAGTTGTTTGGAAACAAAAGTCTGAGCATTAAAAGGAAGGCGGGAGAAAGGAGTATTGTGCAGTTTTATCAGAATAGGCATACTGTACATGTATCTCAACCCTTTGTTCTTGTTGGAATAATATTTATTAATCACATTTATATGGACACCCATCTCACATGAAAACTCAACCGAAAAATTCTGAAAAAATCACCATCACCATTTTTGTTGGGAACCTACACAAGACTCTTTACAAATCAGAATTGCATATACTCATTTCTGTTTTGATTTCCCATTTCTCCCTGTTGTTATACTCCCTATAATTGTTAATAATTTAACTGTACATCACAAGATGAATATATGTGGTGAAATAATTTTTATTCATATACTGTATGAGAGTACTTATATTTGTTAATATGTACCTGCTTATTTTTCTTCCCTTTTCTTTTTTGCCTCTTTTTTTGCATTTAAAGTAACACTTTATAACACTGTATATAAATAGTGTGAACTGGAATCAGCTCATATACCTATATCATAGGTATAAGCACATTTTAAAAAGCATTTAAAAAGTAATATTTTTCTTATTAATGGGAAGGAACCACTAATATAAATAAAATGTTTAAAAGTGTGTGTGTTTATATATATATATATATATATATATATATGTATGTATGTATGTATGTATGTATGTATGTATGTACAGTCAGGTCCAGAAATATTGGGACATCGACACAATTCTAACATCTTTGGCTCTATACACCACCACAATGGAGTTGGAATGAAACAAACACAATGTGCATTAACTACAGACTGTCAGCTTTAATTTGAGGGTATGTACATCCAACTCAGGTGAACGGTGTAGGACTTACAGCAGTTTGCATATGTGCCTCCCACTTGTTAAGGGACCAAAAGTAATGGGACAGAATAATAATCATAAATCAAACTTTCCCTTCTTAATACTTGATTGCAAATCCTTTGCAGTCAATCACAGCCTGAAGTCTGGAACGCATAGACATCACCAGATGCTGGGTTTCATTCCTGGTGATGCTCTGCCAGGCCTCTACTGCAACTGTCTTCAGTTCCTGCTTGTTCTTGGGGCATTTTCCCTTCAGTTTTGTCTTCAGAAAGTGAAATGCATGCTCAATGGGATTCAGGTGAATTGACTTGGCCATTCAGGTCAAGTGATTGACTTGGCCATTGCATAACATTCCACTTCTGTCCGTTCAAAAACTCTTTGGTTGCTTTTGCAGTATGCTTTGGGTCATTGTCCATCTACACTGTGAAGTGCCGTCCAATGAGTTCTGCAGCATTTGGCTGAATGTGAGCAGATAATATTGCCCGAAACACTTCAGAATTCATCCTGCTGCTTTTGTCAGCAGTCACATCATCAATAAATACAAGAGAACCAGTTCCATTGGCAGCCATACATGCCCACGCCATGACACTACCACTACCATGCTTCACTGATGAGGTGGTATGCTTAGGATCATGAGCAATTCCTTTCCTTCTCCATACTCTTCTCTTCCCATCACTCTGGTACAAGTTGATCTTGGTCTCATCTGTCCATAGGATCTTGTTCCAGAACTGTGAAGGCTTTGTTAGATGTTGTTTGGCAAACTCTAACCTGGCCTTCCTGTTTTTGAGGCTCACCAATGGTTTACATCTTGTGGTGAGCCCTCTGTATTCACTCTGGTGAAGTCTTCTCTTGATTGTTGACTTTGACACACTTACACCTACCTCCTGGAGAGTGTTCTTGATCTGGCCAACTGTTGTGAAGGGTGTTTTCTTCACCAGGGAAAGAATTCTTCGGTCATCCACCACACTTGTTTCCCATGGTCTCCCAGGTCTTTTGGTGTTGCTGAGCTCACTGGTGCATTCCTTCTTTTTGAGAATGTTTCAAACAGTTGTTTTGGCCACGCCTAATGTTCTTGCTAGCTCTCTGATGGGTTTGTTTTGTTTCTTCAGCCTAATGATGGCTTGCTTCACTGATAGTGACAGCTCTTTGGATCTCATCTTGAGAGTTGACAGCAACAGATTCCAAATGCAAATAGCACACTTGAAATGAACTCTGGGCCTTTTATCTGCACATTGTAATTGGGGTAATGAGGGAATATCACACACCAGGCCATGGAACAGCTGAGAAGCCAATTGTCCTATTACTTTTGGTCCCTTAAGAAGTGGGAGGCACATATACAAACTGCTGTAAATCCTACACCGTTCACCTGAGTTGGATCTACATACCCTCAAATTAAAATTGACAGTCTGCAGTTAACACACATTGTGTTTGTTTCATTCCAACTCCATTGTGGTGGTGTATAGAGCCAAAGATGCTAGAATTGTGTCGATGTCCCAATATTTCTGGACCTGACTGTATATGTATATGTGTGTGTGTGTGTGTGTGTGTGTGTTTGTATACTGTATACACATATACACACACATATATAATATAAATATATACTTTTATATATAATGCATATATAAATATATACTTTTATATATAATTTCAGATGCTGCTAACCACAAGATAATGTGCAGTTATTCTATGTTTAGGCCAGTGGTGAAATCCAAATTTTTTAACTACCAGTTCTGTGGGCGTGGCTTGGTGGGCATGGCAGGGGAAGGATACTGCAAAATCTCCATTCACAGCCCACTCCTGGGGAAGGATACTACAAAATCCCCATTCCCTCCCCCTCCTGGGGCCAGCCAGAGGTGGTATTTGCCGGTTCTCCGAACTGCTCAAAATTTCCACTACCAGTTCTCCTGAACCTGTCAGAACCTGTTGGATTTCACCTCTGGTTTAGGCCCAGGAGTAATAAAGGTGAAAGAGAGTGTTATATATATTACATTTAAATTCTTCAAAAGAACTTGAATGAGGTCAGCTAAATTAAAGCTATTTTCTCCTCAAATTCCATAAAACGTAACATTTTCTAAAAAGTAGATGATATCAGGATCCTAGGCAAGGTTACATTTTGCTTTTCCTGTAATGCACATCCTTATTTCCTAACATATATTGAACAGTACCATAATAGGTCATGTAATGATCAAAAATTGATTGCCATATATTTTTTTTCTATCTTTGATAAGGAGAGTTACATTTTTCCACTGAATAATTATGTGTTAACCTTTTAAAACGGGTGTCAAACTCTATTTCATTGAGGGCCGCATCAGGGTTGTGTTTGACCTTGGGACAGGGGTGGGCGTGGCCAGCTCAACATCACTCGTGTTGGGGGCTCCTGTGGTGGCCCAAGCACTCTGCCAGCGAAAACAGGTTCCCGAGTTCTGTTTTTGACTGCGATGGCCTCCTGTAACTCTCTGCAGCAACCCCACACCCCACTCGAGCTCTGTTTTTGCTGGCATAGGCACAGCAAGCCAGATCTAATGACCCTGTGGGCCGGCTCCGGCTCCCTGGCCTTGAGTTTGACATCCCTGTTTTAAAATGTTCCCTGCTGAGTTATGCATGCTTATGCAATTGGGTGGCCTAGTTATTTGGTCTAGTTATTTCCCAATCAACTTACATTTCTATGTCCATTTATTTAGAGATCATCTTCACTAACAAAGTATGAGATTTCTGAGTAAATATACCAAGACTTCTTGTGCACATGAAGGGATCAGAGTATCAATTTTAAACTTGTTTTATTCCATTAAAGGGGTTAACTAAGGGATCTTTCCAGTTATCATTTTCTTGCTCATATTTAAGAGTCTATGGGTTTTATTTTTACACATTAGTTAACATATTGGCAGTTCTAGGAAATGCAGGGTTTTTTTTTCTTTCTGTGGTGGCGAAATTATTCATTTCCTGCAAATAGTATAATGAGTGGTGTGTGCTATTCCTTTCACTTTGGCCTTGAACGGACTTCCCTCTTTCTGTGATTTTGCAAACTTTGAAAAAGCAGCATAAGGGTACCCTTTACAGTTTATAGGTTGAAAACTTTGGTCATGTTGGGTTTCCCGTTTGCCAACTTTTATCCTTATACTGAGTTTACTTAATTCTTCTTTGAAATGTCCAGATGGCAGAAAAATTGTAACAAATAAATTCCAGGCTTGCATCAGAAACTCAAGAAAACCCACAGTCCTAATTTAGAAAAATTAGCTTTGTATGTGGGATAAAAACACACAAAATAAAGCATAGTTAGGAATAGGTCTTAAAAAGACAAATGCTATGTTAAAACAGAAAAAATGCAGAAATTAAAGATAGGGCTGTGAAAAAAATATACAAGTGGCAGAGCAGTTCCTTCTGTAAAAGAAGGGTATAAATGCAAACGTGGTAAATGTCTAAGCAGGGATAATGGGGGTTTGACGGGTTCAAGTAATCATGGTTTGCTGCTGATTAAGGAATTAATATGTAATAAGTGAGACAGCAAGCTCAAGTTTGATACTTGATTTGATCTTACAAAGTTCATCATGCTAAGCCACGAATTCCATAATAAC